GTTCTGCTTTGTATGTATTTTATTTTATTTGTTTCGTATTTCTTATTTCATCCATATTTTCAATTATTAGACTAAATTTGACAATAAACAGTTTGAATATATATATTTTTTGCAGCTTTTAGTTTTTAATATTAATTTACAATATGGTCACCCAACACTTAACAATGGCCTCTACCTCAAGAGGTAGAGTAGCCAAATGGCTGGCTCACTGCTGACAACTAGTGGCCAGAGGCTGAACTACAACATAAAATGAACAGCTGGAAGGAAAGTTGACATTTTAAACCTTAATAAAAAAATCAATACAGGGCTTTAGAATATCGATACAGTATCGGGAAATGAAATATTGCGATATTTCAGTGTATCGATATTTTCTTACACCCCTAATGGTAACTACGTAAACTTTCCACATCCTTACGGTGTCATTCTTTAAATTTTTTTTTTTAATGTAACCCTAATGTAAATTTTGAAATTCATACACTAGCCTATCACATTTAAGTATGAAAAGCAGAAAATATTGAAGAGGAAAAATAAGAAAAATGAAAACATGTATAGCAATCATACTGATAATTTCTTGCATCAAAGTCCATAAATTAAAGTGCATCTCTATACTATTTCACTATTAATATTTTAGTCAAATACCCAGCTTCAGCATTATGATGTAGCAAAACGAAGCAAACTTGCATTTCAGTTCGGAAATGAGTAAAACAAATGTGTTATATACAAACCTTCGAATATTTATTGTGAAGCCATAACATTTTGCACTCATGGACCAACATTGCTATCATATAATTAGCACAAAAACAAAGAAATTTGTGTTTGGTAGATTATTTCTTTGTTGTAACAATGCTTCTTGGCAATAAATCTTATACTGGGCACCTGACTGGCAGCACCTGGGTGTACCAGAAGTGTCAATAGCAACAGCAAAATAAGCTGTTTGGCAAAGACAGGGAAGATCTGACCTTTTTTTTCATGTGCGCAACTCACATCCTCAGCTCTACTGCTCATCCCACAGATGTCTGTTCCTTACAAATGTGGCACCATTTAAAATACAGAAATTAACAGACTTTCCAGCGGTATAATATTTATTGCCAAGAAGCATTTTTACAATAAAGAAATAATCTACCAAATTCAAATGTATTTAATTTTTGTGCTAAGCTTACATTGTGTTGTAAGTATGTGAGCACTGATTATGTTTTCTTATGTAAGAGAAACTTGGAGGAGTTCTGATCACTTTCCATCCAAATGCAGCTCAACAGAACTTCAGTTCAAGATATCTTTTACTGAAAGGCAGTCATTCTGGGCAGATTTCCTGTCAGTCAGGAGATGATAATTTTAACAAATCCGATCTAACTGAATCAAGACTGAATTGAGAAAGATCCTCAGGTGAGGTGCAGAACATATTTTAAGATAAAGTCCAGTTGTCTTAAGTTTCAGTTGTTAGGAAAAACGATAACGCTGTCAGCAAAATGTGCTGCACAAAATCCTCATGTTTGATGACTGCAGTTACAGACACTACTACAATTGTTTGACTTGTTGGTCCACAGCACAGATTTTGACATTCAGATGTGTTTTTTTTTCTTTTCTTTATGTCACAACAGATGTCATGGTTGTCAAATGGTTTGGACAGGAACAGCAGGTAGGACAGTGCTCAAGGAGCAACAGGAGACAAGGTAAATGTGACAACCTGCAAAATAAGGGCATGTTTTACATCAGTCTGTCCTCTTACCCTTGCTGGATCTCACAATGACACTCACAGAACATCTGCCTGCTGTGCCGGGCAGGTATTTATGCCATCCCCTCTCTGTGGCCTGTTTCTCATTCTCACAGTCTGGTCTGGTGTGAAGGAACACGGGCCACATTGTGGAAACCCTCGCTCATCTATGACAGGCCGAAATACAAACCTCAAACCCCTGTGGTGGGCCAAATCCCCTTGCTTACACAAATGAGGATATTCTAATGTCAAGCCTGTTTGCAAGGGTGTAAACTTGTGGAAGTGATGGTATTAGATAGGATATCAAAGTCAACAAGCCTGTTGCTTTGAGCTGATCCGTCTGTACGCTGACAAAAATAAATAAATAAATAAAGTAAAATCTGCTCTACAAAAGCCCAAAGGAGCCTTCAAATGTTTCCCATAGTGCAACCTGATCCATAACAGACAGACTCACGCAGCTCCCTGTGCTATCAACACTTTATGCACAGCAGGGCTGCTCTAATTCCCCATTCCTAACAGCCAGGAAGCTCAAAAAAAAAAAAAAAAAAGAACCACACAACCAGTAGAAGAATTTTCTACATTTCCTGAATGTAGCAGTTACAATTTATCAGCACCTATTTAAGTAAGTTAAAACTGAAAATCAATTATTCTGGTGTATTGTTTTGTTTCTTGTATGCAAATTAGTCATAAAAACAGGAGATTTTAAAATCAAAATAGCAAAATGAACTGTTTTTTTTTTTTGCATGATTTTTCCCAGCAAAGAAAGAAAGAGGTTTATTGGTCCAATTTTCTACTAAATAAGATCAATGTGGTAATGAATGAATAAAT